TGACAGCTACTTATTGAAGTAATCTATTGCGAAAGCCCAACTGAGAATGGCCCATTATGCTTGGCGGGAAGTTTCAAAGCGCTTTCCTCCCCCCCTCCCCCCTGCTGGCTTTTCTCTCCTTCAGCTCAAATGAAACGCACTTTTCAAGTATTTGTTTGTTTGTTTTTTTTATACATTTTTTCAGAATTTCTTTTTTTTATTTGTATTTACTATGTTTTGTTCGTTTTTCTCATTTACTACGCAAGTTGTTTTGCATTCTTCGCATTTTTCATGTATAAATTTGTCATGTGTTATGAAAATATAATATAATATATACTTATGTACGTTTATGTTTTACAGAACGCTTGGCTTTTCCTTTACTTTTTCTTCTTTTTGTTGTCGTTGTTGTTTTAAGTAGTTAGTAACTATGCATTTAACTTTGCCATTGCTTTTGAATTTGTATTAATGTTTATATAAATGTGTAGGTGTGTGTGTGTGTGTGCCTCTATAATGCTTGATTATAATAACATAAATCAATTTGGTTCAAGTACTTTATATTTATGTTATATATATATATATATATATTCGCTGTACTCAGACCTCAATGGAAACCACGCATCGAACTGAAGACATTTTTTTGTTATATTATTAAATTGTATTTGTTTTTTTAAATTCTTGATGTTGTTTTTGTTTTTGTTTCAACAACTTGGCTTTATTAAATACGAAACGATTTGTTTATTTTTTGTTTTTTTTTTTCTCTAAATTGAAATTGACCAATTTGCAAATTGACGTTCGTTAATTAAATAATTCAATAATTCATTTAAACTCTTCTCCTGATGTGTCTGTCTGTGTGTGTGTGTGTGTGTGTGTGTGTGTGTGTGTTGATGTACATGAATGTCATATACATAATGCGTACAATCTATATATGTAAAATGTATAATGTACCAATGTATATATATATAATCATCGCATAATAAACGCATTTCCCGTGTATATATATAATAATAATAATAATGCATATTATTTTCTTCTTTTTTCTTTACATAAGTATGTATGCATGCATGTATGTGTGTGTATGTGTGTGTGTCTCTGTGTGCTTTTTATTTAATTTATTTATTATTTATTTTATTTAATTTTATTTTATTTGTTGTAAGTAGTTCTAGGTACAGAATTCTTGCTGGCTCACTAAGGTGCTGTTAGTCGTACGTCTAATTGTAGGCTTATGCTAAATTTTAGGCGTACTTATAAATGTATCTGTATCTGTATCTGTATCTGTATCTTGTCGCGTGTATCTTGTATCTGTTGTTAATCATAATAATAATATGTAATTGCCAAGCTACTTTCTCTACAAATGCTACGTTGTGTGCTCTAAATACAAGTTTTAAATCATTTATTTCTACTCAACTATGCCTCGTGTATGTGTGTGTGTGTGTGAGTAGGTGTGTGTGTGTGTGTCTCGCTCAAAATAGGTATTGCTTTTAGGTTCCATTTTTGTGTTTGTATATCTATCGCAACAATGCACCTAGTATATGCAAAAACATAAGATGTAAGTTTTCATATTCGTTGTATAAAGTACATCAATTGGTCTCGTCAAAAGCAGCACAAAAGTTGCGATAACAATATGCCAAAAAACAATTCTACCCCTATATATATATATATATATATATATATATATATATAGTATATATAGTATATATATCGGTAACTAATAATCATTTAATCAATTCGTTTTGCAGCTAAATCCAAAAGTTGCTACGGCTTAATTAATTATTTATATTTACTGCTAGTCAATAAATTAAAAGCTAAATTTGTATTTGTATATATATCCAATATATATATATATGCATGTATATGTATGTAGTATGTATGTATGTATATTGGTATTAGAGTGCCATATAAATAATTTGGGTTTTCGCTTACTTATCGCAATAGTTTAACGAATTCCAAATATTTACTCAAAGATACAATGCACTATAATACTTTTTTGGTTACCTTAAACTCGTAATGCTCTATTGCTCATCGCTCATTGCTCAATGCTCATTGCTCATTGCTCATCGCTCATTGCTCATTGTTAATGTTATACTTTTTTGGTTACCTTAAACTCGTAATGCTCATTGCTCATTAATCAATGCTCATTGCTCATCGCTCATTGCTCATTGTTAATGTTTAATTTTAATTTATTATTGCTATTGCTTTTTCTGTTGCTTTTCGTTGTTGTTGTTGTTTATGTTTATTGAGTACCCATACCATATACAATAGATGTAAATATAAGTTGTTTTTTTTCATAATATATATATATATTCGAAGTGTTAAGTCTTTTATTTTGGTTGTTGTTGTTCTTCTTCTTCTTTATTTTTGTTGCATATTTATAATTAATGTTTCGATTTTATGCTTTTTATAGCTTAGTTTTTTCGTTTTTAATTTTGTTTTCATTGCTGAAAAGTTTTGTGTTAACGTGCCAAGTCTTTTTATTGTTTAATCATTGCTGATGCTCATTATTAATACATAATTTTTTAATTTTCACTACGTGTTCGCTTTTTCTTTCTATCTTTCGTGTTTTCTTTTGCGGTCTACAAATGATAAATCATAAATATAATACTAATAATAATAATAATGATATCCTATGTACAGACGCAATGCAAATTAAATTGGGATGGGAAGGGTTTTGTCTCTCTTTTGGGGGGTCTAGGGATGATTTTCTTCTTACATTTTTATTTTATTACATTTCCTTTTGTTTGGGGTCGCCTTCTCCTTCTAACGAGCGCTCGTTAAAATGCATTGACACAAAAAGGGACAACATTGTTCTGGCCAACAATGAGGGGGGAATGTGGGGGGGGGAGGGGTGGAATGGAAGGTCAGCAACAGATAATGAAAACAATGGATCATGAAACAAATACTTAACAATTGCAAGTATTTAAAGTTGTGCTGGCTCCGATTGATATACAACTATGTAGTTAATATGCTAATATGCTAAAAATGTATCAACTTTAACAATTTCATTTGGTTTTTCATTATTCGTTTTTTGTATTAACAATATGCAGGACGAACCGATAACATGACGAAACCTATTCAAACCAAATGAAAACCATAAAACGGGCACTTTTTGACCAACAAAAATGTAACCGCCGATTTCTTGGACTAAAGCTTTTCCAAATACAATATATATATATCTGTATATATGTGTGTATATATATGTGTGTGTATGTATGCGCATATGTTATGTACTACGTGTCTTTTGGTTATTCGAAAAATTGTCAAAATTTTTGAAAATATTCCTTGCATGCGCTCAAAACTATCTCAATTTATATATGTATATATATATATTTTATTTTTTGTTTTTTTTTTTAGATTTACAACTACCTTTTATTGCTTCTCGATACACGTTAAGTTGTTGTTGTCAATAATTTATTCTGTTATCAATTGAGCAAAATGAATGATAACTAATTATGATACTTTGTCCTCCAATTTTGTCTATAATTGTTTGTCTGTGTGGAAATATCACAACATTCGAATTGCTTTCGGTTCTTGTTTATATATTTTTTAGTTTTCAAACAAAAAAAATAATGCAAACTCTACTTCGAGAGTGAAAATTAAAAATAAAAAAAGGTTAAGCGTCCAGTTTTGCCTTATATAAAATCCAGGATAATAGTTTGTCTTGAAAATCAAAAGCGTAATTTTGTTGAAAAATGAAAAACAATTTTTTTTTCTTTTTTTTGTTGTATTGTGTAAGTATTTATGTATATGTATATTGTATATTAAAAACATTATAATTGTTTTTTGTAATAATTTTTCGTTTTTTAATACATGTGTGCTGTCTTTACTAATTTTAAATAGTTTCAACCTTATGTTTACTTAGATACTAATAAATTGATTAACCATTAATTGTTATTGCTTTCATTCACATAATTAATTATGCATTTTTTTTGTGTTTTTTTTTTGTTGTTGTTACTTTTTTTTAACTTGTTTACATTGTTATACAAAATTGAATATATTATTGCCGGGCTTTAACAAAACATTTCTCTCGTTTTGTAAATCTTAAAAACGAACGAAAAGTAAAAACAAATCGAAAATAATAATCGTCGGTAACTATGACTAATAAGTAGCTTTTTGCCATTTGAGTTATAATTGAATATTCGTTTGTTTGTTTTTGCCTTTGTTCGCATTGTTTGAGTATTGCTTTGGTACTTTAGCCGATTCCGATAACGATTCCGATAACGATAACGATCTCGATCTCGATATCGATATCGATTCGTTTCGTTTCGATTAAAAGTTTCGTATTGCTTCCACTTGTAACAGTATAAAAATAATTCTCGTCGCGATTATACTTACTAGGTTAACTTAGGAGTAAATGTATACTATATCTAAATAATATATATATGTATATATAATTTTATGCTGTATGTATATATAATTGTAAATATTACGCAGCTACATACGTATTCTAAATGTTTGTATATATATATATACTATATATATATAGATTCCATCTCGCTCGCTTAGACATATCAACAAGTTTCGACTGGGTTGATCTACTTTTTACTCTACTTTTTAGGCTCTAAGTTCTCTAGGACTTCGTTGCACTTTTTCGTTTATATTCTTCTTCCTTTTTGTTGAGATCGGTCGCTGAAGCTGATTTCAGTTGAGTGATTTGTTTGGATTAAATACTATATACATGTTTTTGTGCAGTGTAATTGAGAATAAATGAACGTATGAGCTACATAATACAAGTAGGTGTAAGTAAGTGTAAGTAATATCGTCGTACTAGGTAAGTTTGAAAAGTGCAAAAGTATTTTTACTTGTTTTTGGTTTTTTTTACGCATGGACGAAGTGTACTGTTAAATGCTTGAGACTAGATCACACTCGATATACGTACATATATCTTTATTCCGGCTTGAGGGGCACGTTTAATGCGCTCGAATACGGACTTGAGAAGGCTTCAAATCATTTTTTTTTTGGTCAGAATGCAATGCTCTAAAACTATTTACTGGCATATATGTATATATAACTGAGGTCCTTTTCGATTTAAATAAAAACCTGCTGTTATACAGCGACTAGATTTCCTTCTTCTGCATAAATACATCCTATGCATATATTTATGTATCTTTTTTCTGGTAATTGCCTGGGAATGTTAATTGACTTCACTTTTATAATAATGGGACACGAAACTGAATGCAAATAATATATATACAAATCTGTTTTCAGTTTGCACCCCGCCCTCCTTTTCTGCTCATCCAATGTAATTCTAGCCTTCAAATCAAATAATGAAATCGATTCAAAAAATGTGCCAATTATAATGCTGATGATTCTTCTATAATAGTATATTGTAGATATTGCTTTGCGTTGTCAAATTTTTGATTAATTTCGTGCTTAAATGTTTTTGTTTTTTGTGACTTAGTTTAGAAAATGTTGTTGTGAAAAACGCGGCGCTACTATAAACTGCTTATAGATAGTCTGCCCTTACGACCTAATTCGTTGTTTGAGAAACATTGCATTTGCTTTTTTGTATTCGTTGCATTAATTTTAATCACTTCGTCTTCATTTGTTTAGTTTTTTGTTTTTTTTTTTGGATTAAAGATTGTTTAGAGAGAGGGAGAGCTAAAGACTAAGAGTTTTGATAGAGCTACATCATTATATAGGTATAAGTATTTCGTTAGATATAGATATATAGATAGCGCTAGAGAGAATTGCTCAAGTTCAGGTTTGGATTGCATTCGGATCGCACCTCCTGCAAAAGGCTTTCATGTGTGTGTGTCAAATATATATATATACATATATATATATGTATAGGTATATGTAGGGTATGGAGTTCTTTTGGGGCTAGGAATGTTCAACTCGCTTAAGACTAGAAGAAGAACGAGATTAGGTTTCGCTAAGTGTATTTTAGTTTGTTTTCTCCTTTGTATTTATTTTAATTATTTTTTTTTTGTTTTTGTATTTTTCTTTTTAAGGTATTTGCTGCCTAACGTGTCTAATGCGAATTTCTACAGTCTCTGTGTTACTCTACTACACTTGCTTTTTGGACGTATTGTGATGTCAAGTATGTATTTTTTCTTTTTTTATATAAAAACTGCTAGCGGTTCGATAACGATAACAGCTATCGATCGGTAATCGATAACGATAACGGCTATCGATCGGTAATCGGTAATCGATAACGATAACTTTTTGTTTTGTGTTCAACATTAACGGTAAATTAACTAGGGCCAGCCAGCATTGCATTGCATTTGCACACTTACTCAACATTTACATGGCATAGGCGATGCCTCCAACTCCTCCAACTCCTCCTCCATTGGTTGGCGCCTCCAGCTTGACACGCTCGAGAAACTCGTGTGGGGGCGATGCCAGGCTGGCGCCGCTTTCGCTGTTGCTGTCGGTATGGCCATGCAGGGACATGGCCATCATTAGCTCCTCCTCGTCCTTGAGGCAGGCCGATTCCAGATGCTTATTTAGGTACGACTTGAGCGCGAATGTCTTGTGGCAGCGCTTGCACTCAAAATTCTTGTCCACCGAGTGCGTCTGCATGTGCGCCCTCAGATTGGAGCGATCCGCAAATGCCTTGCCGCAATGCGCACAGCCATAGGGCTTCTCGCCGGTGTGGGAGCGCAGGTGGCCCTGCAGCAGCCAGGGGCGCGAGAATAGCTTGCCGCAAACGCCGCAGCTGTGCGAGAGCTTGTGCGTCAGCACGTGCATGGCCAGGGCGGGCATCGAGACGTACGCCTTGCCGCAGGTGTGACACTTCTTGGCCGACTGCGAGTCGAGGGAGCGATGCGTCTGCTTGTGGCGCGACAGATTGCTCGATGTGGCATATTGCTTGCCGCACTCGGAGCACGTGTATTTGGTTTTCTGCTGATCCTGGACCACAACCGCGGCGGGATCGGCCACATGCTTGCGCTTGGAGCGGCCATCGCTCACAAAGAAGGCCTCGTAGGTGTACGCCACGGTTTTGGCCGCCTGCCCACCATCCAAATCGCCATCGGCATCCGCATCGCATTCCTGAGCCAGAATCAGACCCTGGCCAGGACGCAGCTGATTCGTGTTGGTCGTGTTGCTGTTCTCGTTCTGCACATTGCTGCTGTGGCTGCTGTTGCTGCTGTTGCTGCTGTGGTTGCTGTGGTTGCTGCTGATGCTGTTTATGCTGCTGCTGCTGCTGGCTGGGCTGCTGGGCGGCAGATGGCTGCTGCTCGCGCTGGAGGCATTGCTCAAGGGGCGTTGTTCGTTAACCGCGCTGGCTGCAGCAGCCAGTTCGGCAATCGATGACGTGCTCCGCACATGCGCATGCGCTTCCAGCAGCGGCGCGGAGTGGGCAGCTGTGTGAATGTGGCCCAACTGCTGCTGCTGTAGCTGCTGCTGCTGCTGCTGCTGCTGCTGCTGCTGTTGCTGCTGCAGTTGGTGTGGCTGCGTGGGCGGGTGGAAGGCTGTCGAGGCGCTCAGATCGAGTATGGCGTGCGCGGCATGCAGGTCCTCCTCGGCGGGCACACGCCTCCGATAGCCGTGCGCCGGCTTGTCGTCCAGCGAGTACGGCCTGTAGATGTCCTTCTTTTTGGGCGGCAGCGACAGCGTCGCGCCCGTGCTGCTGAAGCATTTGCGCTCGCTGGACGTCTGGCCGGACTCGGTCTTAATGTGCACCATGCCGGGACTGTATCTATCGCCATGCCCGGCGCCGCTCGGCGAGCACGACGGCGACGATGTCGTCGACGACGGCGGCGTCTGATAGGCGGCCAAATGCTGCTGCTGCTGCTGTTGCTGCTGCTGCTCCCCGCTCCCGGCTCCATTTGTGGCGGCTGCTGCCACCAGCGCTGTGGCTGCCGCTCGTATAACCGTTATTTCGCTCTCCATTCGGGGCAGGTACGCGGTGTAGTGCAGCGGCGACAGCTCACGCGTGTAGCCTGCAAAAGGTCAGCAGAAGAGAATAAAGGGTATTCGGGATTAGAGTCGGGCCAAGCAAGTTGCAGCTGCCAATTATTTGTTGAGACAACTCCTAAACCATCTCAGATCTATACAAAGAGCTATTCAATTCTTGTTTCTTTACGCTTGATAAATATGCTATAGTAAATTTGTATGCTGAAAAGTATGCAACAATTTTTGCCTAGAAAATTTAGCTAAAGCTTTAAGCTAACAGCTCGTACACTCAGAGAAAAAAGCTAAGGGTTCCTATTTCTTAAAGTGGGAAGAAATGCTCTTGCTTCAAGAACATTATTCAATTTGGATATTGAAATTATTTTTAAATTTATTAAAATGTATATGCTGAAAAGTATGCAACAACTTTTGCCTACAAGTTTTCAGTAAAGCTAAAGCTAACATCTAAGCTAAGAAATTCGTACACAAAAATAAGGTTGCAATTTCTCAAAATAAGAATAAAACTCTTGCTTCAAGAACATTATTCAATTTGGATATTGCAATTATTTTTAAATTTATTAATATTTATATGCTGAAAAGTATGCAACAATTTTTGGCTAAAGCTTCAAGCTAACAACTCGTTCGCTCCGATAAAGAAACTAGGAAATTCGTTCACAAATTAAGTTTGCAATTTCGTAAAATGAGTAGAAAAACTCTGGCTGCAAGAAAGTTATTCAATTGGGATATTGAAAATATTTCTTTGACGCCGTAAAATATGCTATGCTAAGACCTCACTTAGAGGAAAAACTTAGAACGTCACACTCAAATCAAGACAAAAATTGCTTAAAATGAGACGAAGACTCTTGAATATAAAACCTTCTTTTTAACGACTTTGGGATAAATCTTAAAATGAGATCAAAAATGCATAGAAAATGACTCAAATTTGGTACAAAATCTAAAGTATTTCGTAGAAGAATGTTAAAGCTCCTTTAAGTTATGAAATTTCTTAAAATGTGTAGAAAACTCTTGAATATTAATCATTCATTTTAGCGACATTGGGAAAAATCTTAAAATAACACTAAAAATGCATAGAATAAGACTCAAATTTGGTACTAAACCTAACAAGTTTCGTAGAAGTATGTTTTACGCTCCGTTTGGTTATGAACTTTTTTTGAAATAAGTATTTTAAACTTAAGTTAAGCGTATTGGAGCTAATTTAAACAGAAATTGCTGCGGATTTGCTGTCTCTAGTCCATTCTTTCTACACCCCATTGTAGACGTTATTCTCAAAACAAGACAGAAATTTATTAAAAAAAAATATAAAAAAATTAAAAAAAAAGAAAAAGTTTCCTAAAACAAGACGAAGTTTCGCAGAAGAATGTTTTACGCTGCTTTTGGTTTAGAAATTTCTTGAAATAAGACTTTTAAACTTAAGTTGAGTGTTTTACAGTTTATTAGAGAATATTTAAACAGAAATTGGAGTGCTATTTTTTTTTTTTAAATTTTTTCGGAGTCCATTCTTTCTACTCACCATTGTAGACATTGGTGGCTCCTCGCGTTGCTGCCTCCGGCGAATGCGGCGGCGGACTTGGCGCCGTGGTGCCCGCCGTTGGTGAGCTGGGACCCCAGCACTTTGCCGTTGTTGTTGTTGTTGCTGCTGCCGTTGTTGTTGTTGCTGTTGTTGCTGTTGGTGTTGTTGTTGTGCTGTCGTTTGTTGCTTCTGCTGTTGCTTCTGTTGCTGTTGTGGCAATAATTGTGCGTTGCTTGTCGGACTTGGTGAGTAGCTTGTCGCCAACAACATCGATCTCCTCGTCATCGTCGAGCGTGGAGCGACGCGACTTGAGATTGGGCGACAGTTGCTCCTCCCGGGAGCTCGTGTTCGTCGTCGTCGTCGTCGTCGTTGTGGCATTATCCTCGGATCGATCCAGCCAGGGATATGCCTTCCATTTTTTGGCAATCAGGCAGCGCGGCATTTTGATAGCAGTGTTTAGATTGAGTGACTGATTGATTGAGTGATTGAGCTATTGAGCTGTTAACAGTTGTCGATATAGGCAAGTTGAGAGTGTTAAGTGCTGAAGCGAGTTGTTTGTTTCGTACGAGCAAAGATTTTCGTAGGGAATATTTGTTGTTGGTGGAAAGGAAAGGAAATGTTGCACTTGTTATTTCGCAATATTTGACGCATGTGAAAAATAGATTGGCTCGCCGAAATTAAATAGAGTTTAGAGTTGACTTATATTGAGTTTATTGCTCGGCATTCTCTCTCTCTCTTCGCTCGCTTTCTCGATTTTATTTGATCATAATTCAATTTCCAATTGTAAATTGCATTTTATTGCGTTTTTTCTCTTGTATATAATACGTTGATAAATTGGTTTGCGGTTTTTGGTTTTCGGTTTTGGGTTAGGATACTTCAAATTTCACAGCCACTTTACACATTTCTGCGCTTTTTCCGTACTCTCCGGGTTTGAGGAGCCGTAGTTGTTGTTGTTGTTGTCGTCGTGTCTCACTTGGGGGCAACTTTTTGGTCAACTTTGGTCCGTAGTTTCGCCTTTTGTTTTTTTGGTTTTTTTTTTTTTGGGTCTTTTTGGACAGGGACACGTTTTGCTGCGTTTGCGTTGGCTGCGTGTGGTTTATCGATTTTTACATTTGCGTTTACGTTTACGTTTGTTTTTACACAATTGCGAGGGGGCGGCGGAGGGGGCGGGGTCTTAAAACATAGCGGTTCGGTCAACTGCGAGGGGGATCAGAATTGGTAATTGTATTGCTCCATATATCCTTTTGGCTTGTTGTTGTTGTAATAATTGTTGTTGTTGTAGATTTAATATTATTTTGATTTTGGTAAACAAGTTCAAATGAAATATTGTTATATTTGTTGATATTTGTTTTTTGGTTTTGTTTTTGTTTTTTGGTTTTGTTTTTGTTTTTGTTTTGTTTTGTTTTAAAAAACAGAAAGTATAGATTTTAGAGTTGTAAAAGTTAGGTTAGTTGACACGAGTTTTGTTGAAAAGTTGAGTTTTAATTATTGTTGTTGGTAGTGAAAAAATTGATTTAGGAGAAAATATAATATTATATAAGATAGAGAAGAAATGCGAACGAACCGAACGTAAGCAACTCTTGAATGCTTATGAGAATATAACTGAACGAAACGTCGCTTATAAGGGTTGCCGAATGAAATGGAAAGGCAGAGCGAGCCGAAACGCAACGATACGAAACGGAATGGAACGAAATGGAAACGAAATGGAACGTAATAGAACTGAAAACACACAGCCCCTAAACTACCCCCAAAATAACAGCGTAGCTGTTGCGTGTCTTTAGGGCAGCTGCACACGTCGCAAAGGGGAAGTGCACAAAATAAATATATATGTATATATATATAATTGTAAACTTTTCTTAATTTATTATAATATTTAACTGTATATACAACAGTTATGATTTTTTTTTTTTTTGAAAAAAGGGGATAATTATTTACATTTTTAAAAATATTTTTTTAATTTTCTCATTATTTATTATAACATTTAATTAAAATAATTATGATTTATTTTTTAAACAAAGGGGAAATTATTTATATTTTAAAAATATATTCCTATAATTTTATCTTAATTTATTTTAATGTTAAATTGTTTAAGCCATAATTATGATTTTTTTTAAACAAAGTGGAAATTATTAACACTTTTAAAATATATTTTTATAAGTTTTTCATAATTTATTATAGTGTTGAATTGTTTGGGCTATAGTTATGATTTTTTTTAAACAAAGGGGAGATTATTTATAATATTTTTTTCAAACATAAGGTTTCATACGAATATTGCTTTATCATCCTGGCCATGTCTGATGGTGTGTGGCGGCATTAAGGAGCCAACAAGCAGGAAGCGTTCCATTGCCGCTCGTTTTGCCATTGGCTTTTTTCCTCCAATTGTTGCGTCCCTCCCTCTGCCTCTCCCTCTCCCTCTCCTTGTCACGGTCCGCTCTTGGCTCGTACCTGAATTGGCTCATGGCTCCTTTTTGTTATTGAACATTTTTGGGGTGGATTTTTGCAACAGCGTCGTCGTCGTCGTCGTCTCCGTCGAATGTGGCAGTTGTGCCGAGTTAATTGCTCTTGCTGTTGCATTGCATTTGTTGCTGAACTTTGATTTTGAACAAATTGCCAAAAATGACGGGCGAAGGGGTGGGTGGGGTGTGTGTGTGTGCGTGTGTGTGTGTGTGTGCTGAAGGGGTGGAGTTTTGAGCAACAGTCGTTGGATTGCGGCATTGTTGATTGCAACTAGCTGGCGATGGGAGCAGAAGGTTGACGGGGGCTGAATGGGGGAGGGGGGTGGGCTGCTAGCAGAGGAGGGGGTGAGGGGGGTGGGGGGTGCTTACTCGCTGGCAATACATTAAAGCATTGGCTTGGGCGTAGATTTTTCGTATATCAAAGGTCAGGACACGTTGGGAAATTTACGATTCCATGCAGCTTAAGATCAAAATTTAATTGAAAATTTGAACCTGGCCTCTCTATCTATGGATTAATCGAATTAATCAAGGTAATCCTTAAAATATTAGTAAATTTTCTTTTCATAGAAGGGCATATCAAAGCCGTTGTCAACTAAATATTTCGTCTCTCTTAAGCTTAATTCTTAGCTAATTAATTAGGACATAAAGTGCCGAAAAAAAAAGAAAAAAAAAGAGAAACTTTTTTATTTTTTCTTTGGCCAACTGTCACGTCGTATGAGCTTAGCAGGCGCAAAATATGATTTATTCCATTAGCTTTGTTTTTAAAAGTCGGAGCTTTCAATTTTTCGAAAATGGTCGCCATTACAGGCACCATTTGACGGAGGGGGGGAGGACAGGGGGGCTGTGAACCCCTTTTATATGGCCTCTTGAGTTTGAGGCACTTAGAGCCAAGGAAATGCCGGACAATTCATCTAGCTGTCAGGCCTTAAGGACCTCTCTTAGCATAAACAAATATTCCTTGTAACGTACGGGCCATCTGTGGAATTCGACTGCACTAATTACAATGGGCACCTTTTGGAAATGGAAGCCCTAAATATGCGTCCTCTTAGTGGAAACCACACATGGCACACACACACTCCGCTCTCTCTCTTCAAATTGTAATCTGCTTTTCCAGCTAAAAGGCGAGCTTGTCGCCGAAATTGTTGCGCTTCGCTAGCCGCTTTAGGGGGTGGCATCTGTACTCTGTGAATGTGGAATGTAATATGTGAATAAAAATGAAAATGAATATATGATCGGGATCGGGATCGTTGAGAGGCACGCGCAGCTGTATTGAGGCGAGCACCATACCAACCATATGGCTTCTCGTTGCTGGAGTGGGTACAAAATTGAGGGACTCGAACTGGGACGAGGACGGGGTAGGAGCCACGCGTCACGACAGGAAACCAAATTATGCAGCCCGACGCAAAAGCGAGATTCGTTCAGCTGGAACAAGGACCGGGACAATATGGTTAGAGCACAGACCGACAGCTTTTCCTGTACCAGGAGGCGTTATTAGCGTTAGTTTAAGGGTAAAACCAAAGGTGCAACCATTTCCATTTCCAGGCAGCAGGGATCCAGTTGAGCGCGTTTGCGAGCGTGCAAAAAACAGGAAATGCTCTACAAGTGCAGCTGCCCAGCCCGAGGAGCTCAGTCCAGCTGGCCTGGGTGGGTGGTTGGTTGGTTGCGCCTGAAATTGTCAGCTTGCCAAAACGCTTTTTGGCGTTGCCTAGCGAAACAGAACGTCCCCCCGCTGCCCCCCCTTCCCCTTTAACGTATCGTATCGAGCGAAGTGTGACGCTCGCGTGGCACGGGCCAGGAAGTGGCAGCTGTAACAGAAATAGAAACAGAAACACAACCGAGAACTGTTGATCCTGCCCCTGCCACAGCCTGCCACAGACGAGTGCGAGCGAGAGCGAGAGAGAGCGCAAATGTACCAGGTGTCTGGCATGCTCTCTCTTTCTCTGTGTGTTTTCCTTTCAATGATGTATTAAAGTGGAAACAAGCACGAGTTGCACTCCCCGTGCACTCTGCTTCTTCTCTGCTCTGCTGTACGTATTGTCTGTCTGTCTGTCTAGGCGGACGGCGACTGACGGACGGACTCGGACTGACTCGCAGACTCGGGCGCCCGTTGAGTATTTTTCCCAAATGCTATTTGTTCCTGTGTTCCTGCTATAATTTCATTGTTACTCCTTTTTCTAACGGCTTTGCGAACCACCCCATCATCGTTATCATCATCATCAACAACATCATCATCATCGCCATCAGCAACAGCAGCAACAGCAACACCATCAGCAGCAACACCACCCAGCAATCAACCCCCTCTCACCGCTTGCCATTTGGCGTTTACATAGAAACAGCAAACAGGTAAAACAGCAGCAACAACAAAATTTTCGTGTGCCTGTTTCATTAGCAATAAAAACAACAGCTACAACAAAAACTACAGCAACAACTACAGCAACAACTACAACAACAACAACTACAACATCTACAACAACAAGTAAATGTGCTCTAGTCGAAAATGCTCGACTAAAAGATACCTCGCACCCGGCCTCAAGTTGTTATTACACATATTTTAGCTCCCTTCTATATATATAGAACCCATAGACCCATGCTAAAATATACCTCAAAGCCAGCCTTAAGCTGTCATTAGAAATATTTTAGTTCCTTTCTATATATAACCCATAGACCCACACCCTAGAAAATAATAAAAGATAACTCGGACTCAGCCTCAAGTTGTCATTAGAAATATTTTAGCTACCTTCTATATATAACCCATAGACCCAATCCATAGGAAATGCATTCCAGATCAACTTAGTTGCCTTTTGTCTCATCTTAATGAACCTTTAAGTGCTTAAATATAACATACTAAAGCCCTAGGCAATATCTTTTAGAATAATATTTCGAATTTGTGGGAAAGTATTTAAAAATTAAAATAATTTGTATTTGTTTAATTGAATTTTTACTATAGAAGAACCTACTTACCAGGTTTAATGTCTTCAGGTCTTATACCTTTCGAGCTATACATTAGGTCGAATAAATTCATACTTCGTATAAAATAGAAAAATATAAATTTTAAATTTCATGTCGCTAGCTTTTTTAGTTTTCGAGATTGAATCGATTCGGCATCTTCTTTCTGATCAAGAATATATATACTTTTGTTATATTTTCTTAATTTATTATAATTTAAAATTGTATAAACTATAATTATAATTTTTTTTAAACGAATGGGAAATTATTTGAATTTTTCAAAAATATTTTTATAATTTTTTCATAATTTGTTATAATGTTAAATTGTTTGAGATATAGCTATGATTTATTTTTGGTTTCATGCATTTGCCCGAAAAACAATCTACCCTATTTTGGCAATTTCGACGGGTATATTAACGAAAAAGAAGTCAGTTTACGTCATCGCCAAATTGCGCTTCACTCCTTTCGTTTTTTGGGGGGGCCGCAACTTATTAGCATGTCCTGCAACAGGATACAAACAAGTTGGGCTCACTTGTACGGCTTCTTGAGCTGGACACACACGTTCCACGTTTCATTCGAGTAATTTGAAACTTTGTATTTTTAATTACATTTGTTGTGAGCATTGCCAAATCTCTCGCACCGAGCTCCGAGTCTCGGAGCTGGCTCGGGATATTTAGGCGGCAGCTGCACAAAAGCGAAGCCCACAAATCGTTAGATGAGATGAGTTCAAAGACCTCCTCGATGTGTGTGTGTGGAAA